AGTACCAGTACTTTAAGTGTCCAAGAAGTACATGTAGTTAGTTTTTAATGTTTTACACGAACAACAGCCACGAGTTTTCCACCTAAAATTGAGTGGCTTCGACTACCCCACACCAGGAGTACTTGAGGTCAATTATTTTTTTGTAATTTAGCAGTATAACTGTGTAGCATCAGAAAGTAGAATTTAGTCGGTTTGTACATTCAGTATCCTTTTGTATTACTTTCTAAAATTAAAATTTGAAGAGAATACAGTGGAGCCCCGGTATACTGTTTCAGGCCCCTCTCTGAAACTGTCATTCTATGTCGCTCAATTTTTGAAAAAAAAAAAAATTATTTTTTCTTATGAAATGATAGAGAATCTTTTCCCGATGGTAATGACACCAAAAGTTCGAAATTTGGTCGAAAACTCGTGGAATTATGGTCCCGCGAAGTTAGCGGTCTCGGCGACATATGCGTATCGGCGATTTCGCCGACTTTGAGCCCAATTTTCAGCCAATTCCATTGTTCCAGTTGACCAAACTCATAGCTATTTCTTTAGAACTCCATTTTATTTATCAGCTTAGTACAAGAACCTCCATTTACTAATTTGGACTACCCAATATGGTGGTCAGAAATTGGCAATTTGGCCAATTTCACGCAAAATAAAAAAGATGCCAATTTCAAAATAGGGTCCAGAATAACAAGGTAGACATTCGTGGCACTAAAATAACATATGCTCTGTTCATTAGTCACATCTCTAGGCCCCTCTTATATTATTATTGCTTTCTATTTTGATTTTTTATTCATACAAAAAAATACAAAATTTACTGTTATGCAGACGACTGCATTATTGTAAAAATGGTATAAATAATATCAGTGCACTAGTGAAGAATATTAGACTCCCTAGTTGACGTGTATTGGACGGTGGTGTGATTTATTTACTCTTCAACATTGGTAAAAATCGAACATTTTCGCTACTTTGAGCTTAGTTTTCAAGGTCGTTTTCATCGTAAAAGTAATGAAAATCATCTCTATTTCTGTAATATGTTTTCCATTTTATCACCTAAGACCATGAAAACGCGAATACAACGATAAATACTATACGAAAATACACCTCAAAGTCGGCGTTTTATTCCAAAAAAACGATCAGTTTTTTTTTTCTCATTACGCAATGTGTGCTGCAGGATTTTTTTTATGTGGTGCACACTGACCACACAGACCCATTCTCTCACATGTGGGCCTACCAGCTTTCTCCCACTTGATTTGAAGCCGCTAGAATTATTGAGTATATATACGTCAGAAACATTGGCTCGTAAGACGTATTTATACGTCGAAAACAGTCAAAGGGTTAATCTGTTCCTGAGAGCTCATCGTATGCCAAAATTATCGGAAGGCGAATTAATTTCCCCCACAAGAAATAATGGAAATCAAATTAATCCGTGCAAGACACTCAAAAGAACTATGAAAAAAAAAAAGGTTTACCACATGAAATGTTAAGTTTAATGCACACAAACTGAAGAAGACTTGCACAGTTAGTAGTACTCTACTAACAATAGAATACATGACACTTACCTTTAATGAAGATCTGGTGATGATTGATGGGATGGGAGGAGGGGAGAGTGTCAAAGTTGTTAATGTTTAGAAGGGGAATCCCCTTCCATTAGGACTTGAGGTATCAAGTCCTTTTCCGGGGTTACTTCCCTTCTTCTTTTAATGCCACTAGGACCAGCTTGAGAGTCACTGGACCTCTGTCGCACAAATCTGTCCATAGAGGTCTGTACCTCCCGTTCCTTTAAGATCTGTCTAAAATGGGCCACAACATTGTCATTGTTATGGTCACCAGCACGGCTTGCAAAAGCTGTGTTAGGGTGATTTTCATCCATAAAGGTTTGCAGTTCAACCCACTTTGCACACATTTCCTTAACTTTTGAAGTAGGCACAATGGATTCCACAACTGGCATAGGCTTCTCAGGGTTAGCCCCAAACCCTTCAAAATCTTTCTTAATTTCCATACTAATTCTCACCCTTTTTACCACAGGGTTGACACAAGAAGCTTTCTTGGGGCCCATGGTGACTTATTTTGCAGAAACAAGCGCCAAAAGCACTGTGATAATATGGAATGTACCGAATGTATGCTTAGATGTGAGCACACTGGCTGGCTTGTAAACACTGGCACGCACGGGGCAGTTCAGGCCACATGTGGACGCGTCCCGGATGAATCACGTGTTGCGGGTTTTTTAACGAGTGGCGAGGCAAAATTTTTGCTTTAAAATGTATCGTATACCGGATTTAACGTATACCGATGCCATCGAATGCCGGGAGTCCACTGTACACTGAACTTTTTGTTTACCCTCTGAATAACTTAATATTTTTGGTCTCAATTGTTCTACTGGACAGTATAATGGTAAATAAGAATGTGGCTCAGGGACCAAGATTGTCCTACTGGACAGTATGATGGTAAGTAAGAACATGGCTCAGGGATGCCTGCAAGTCTGAACTTGTATTCATTGGAGTGGAGGAGAGAGAGGTACATGATAATATATGCCTGGAAGGTACTCGAGGGCTTGGTCCCAAATCTGCACACTACCATAACAACATACTGGAGTGAGAGATATGGGAGGAAGTGTAAAATAAACCCAGTGAGGAGCAGGGGTGCAGTGAGGACAATAAGGGAACACTGTATCAACATCCGGGGTCTCAGGGAAGTGTCCTAGGCCCTCTTCTCTTTCTCATATACATAAATGACCTACCAAATGCATCGCAACTACTCAAACCCACACTATTTGCAGATGATACTACATATGTCTACTCTCACCCGAGCCCAGTCATGCTAGCCAATACTGTAAATACCGAATTACAGAAAATATCTACCTGGATGAGTACTAACAAACTTACTCTAAATATTCACAAAACTTACTTCATTCAGTTTGGTAACAGAGCTACAGATGTCCCTCTTAACATAATGGTAAACGGATCACCTATCACAAAATTCACGGAGGGAAAATTTTTAGGAATCTACCTTGATAATAGACTCAAATTTCAAACACATATACAACAAATTTCCAAAAAAATTTCCAAGACCATAGGCATACTATTGAAGATACGGTGCTATGTTCCACAGTCAGCCCTCCTGGCCCAATATCACTCACTTATTTACCCCTATCCCGCTATGCAAAAACTCAATGCACATTAAAGGCCCTAAAATCTGGAATTCAAGTCTCTTCTCAAAAATCACTTACTCACCCACAACTAAATAAATACTGAATACATGTAATTGTATCTCATAAATGTTTCTCATTATTGTATCTCATAAATGTCTAACCTGTGACCCAATCAAACTTTATTTTTTAATTACATTACCTAACAGAATACTCCATTCTTCTGAATGCTCAGCAACACAGTAAATGACCATATGACCTGTCTTTGTAATACTCATTTGTGCTAAATTGTTATCTGTTTACAATAATGTTTTTACCACTGAATATATCATTGCTTAGTTAATCTTAAGTTAATTTAAGCCTGCCCATAATGCTCTGCATACAAGGGGCTTTGGCATGTTGCACTGAAATAACTGTATTCCTTTGTACTTCACTGTATTATGTTCAAATTAATAAAAAAAAAGAAAAAAAATCTTACCAGAAGATATCAGAAACACGGCTGGAACCAGTGCAGAAGCCTTAGAGGAAACTAGACAAGTATCTTCTCCAGGTGCCAGATCAACCAGGCTGTGATGGATATGTGGGGAAGCGGGCCTCCAGCAGCAACAGCCTGGTTGACCAGGCGAGCACCAGACGAGCCTGGCCTATGGCAGGGCTCAGAGAGTAGATAAATTCTTAATACTCTTTAAAGGTATATCAAAGGGACCAAGATTGTCCAACTGGACAGTATGATGGTAAATAAGAATGTGGTTCAGGGACCAAGATTTGATTCTGGCACTTACAAGTGTTGAACATTTTCCTTTACATCTTTTGCCCTTGTTCACCTAACATTAAGTAGGTACGTGGGTACTGACTGACTGTTGTGGTCGCACCCAAGAGAAGGTGTTAGTATACCTTTAGTAGGGCTTTGAAAAGACTTAAGGTAGGATGACAGCTCTAATATATACTATATGTATATATATTTCACCAGTTTAAAAAATATAAATGGTGGTGGTTTCACATTTGTATTCTATATTGGCAGTTACGAAGATTTCTTCTTTCTTTCAACGCACCGGCCGTATCCCACCAAAGCAGGGTGGCTCAAAAAGAAAACGTTTCTCTTTATAAATTTAGTAATGTATACAGGAGAAGGGGTTACTAGCCCCTTGTTCTTTGCATTTTACGACACGCATGGCTTCCGGAGGAAGAATTCTGCTCCACTTCCCTATGGAGATAAGAGGATATAAACAAGAACAAGAACTACTAAGAAAATATAAGATAAGCCAGAGAGGGGTGTATATATATGCTTGTACACCTACCATCCGACTTACGACCTGCTCGACTTACGACCACTCGACTTACGACCGTGTTTTTTATGCCAAATTTCTGGGAAATAAACAAGTGTTTGTGTTGTACACAGTGTTTATCCTAAACCTTACAGTATAAAATACAGTACTAACAACAAAAAGTAAAGTAAAACATGAAATACCAAAATAAAACAATAAAATAGTCATTACAAAAATGTTTTGTTGATATTCAGTAGTAAAGTTCAACTTACGACAATTTCGACTTACGACCGGTTTCTCGGAACTGAACTCGGTTGTAAGTCGGATGGTAGGTGTACATGCATATATAGTACAGTATGACTTTAGTAGTATATGTAGAAGCAGCAAGACGTACCTGAAATCTTGCATGTTTATGAGACAGAAAAAAAGACACCAGCAGTCCTAAAATGGTTAATTTGTAGGGATAGTTTTAATTTTGAGAGTGTGAAATTTATTAGGGCTTCTGTATTTCGCTTGGTTCATGTGTATATCATTCCCTCAAGCTCTGTAATATTTAAACATTCAATGTTTGTTGAATGCATTTCATTTTTTCCTTGCAGATACGCAAAAATGTTGACCCTGGCACTAACTATGACAACGTGGGAATGGACATAAGTGAGGTAGGATACTACAGGTTTGAATATCTTACTCAGCTATTTCTTTTATTTTACATGTAACATCATGGAGCTTTTATATTCTTTTTCTTTATGTTTGCTTGTGAAGCATTTTACATGGAAGAACTGATGTATTCTACCATTTAATAAGCATTTAAGGTTCAAAATCAAAGCTTTACTTAATGTATTGAAGGCCTTCCTGATAGTCGTCTCTCACCCTCGACTTGGAAGTTGTTTTGATAGGTTGATTAGGAGGAATGGTGAGAATTAAAAAAAAAAATAAAGTGCAGGCCATGACAAATTGATTATGTCATTTATGTAAATATTACTCGAGCTCACTCATAAAACCCACATTTTTAAACTGGACAGGCAAAACTGAATGTTTCCATCCCTACACTGGGATCTTCCTCCTGTCTTAAGGGGAGAATCCCACTGTAGGAATTGGAATATTCACCAAAAATAATACATGTATATATACAGTAGATCTTTTAGTAATGCACGAATATCATTCTTGATAATCATCCCTCTGTTCTTATTAATGTTATTCAGTGTGAAAAATATTTGGGCATAATTTTTTTTTTAAGTAAGCTAAAAAGAAAAAAAAAAACTTTATATCATCCTAAGTTCTGGTTCTTGATGTGCATGTGTGAAGAGTTGATGTGTTCCCCATAGAAGTTATATATAAACCTGAAGCAGCCACCACCACCTACCATTTCTTAGGCTTGGTGGAACCTGGTTACTGACTCGGCTGTGTGTGTGTACCACTGAATTATACACCCCCTCTTGTTCACCCCAACAACAGCAGCAGTTGCACAATAGTAAACATAATTTCACTACACAACTTTCTCGTTTGATAAGTTTTCAGACTATTATCACTCGCCAACATATTCATTGATTGTTTAACTACAGCTAGGGGAGGTAAATGGCACAAGAATATGTAATTAAATTGTAGTTATGTTTCAGTTTCACACTTGATTTTCATTTTTGGTACCTTTAGCTTCACTAGTATTTCCTTTCTGGTGCCGTGGTTAATATCTAGAGATAAGGTGGGGAGGGGGTAACGATAAGATCCAAACTCGTGCAATGTCCTCACTGGGTCTGTCTTTCCACGCTTCCTTTGGCAAGACAGCACTTCTATAATGCAAGGTAGATGTTTCTGAAACTTGGCACTTTATGGGAAAATATTATGTTCCAGATTTATCTGAACTTGCAAATGCATTTTTTTATTAAGTATAAATTATTACAGTATAATTTATCTCACATAGGGGGGAGGGGGATTAATGTGAGCCTGTTATGTTGTGTTGGATGTTGTGAGGTTTTTCAGGTGACACACTCAGTGCATCTTGCCTGTATCTAACCAATATCAAAATAAATAAAAGCCACATTTTCTTACTGAATTGTCCCACTCAGCTAGGAACTCGTCACAAAAACGTTTTAAAAAATAACTACATTTGCAGACGTTTATAATAACCAAGAAAATAAGAGTAATACAGCCTCTCCTCACTTAACAACGGAGTTCCGTTCCTAAGACCATGTCAGTAAACGAATTCGTCACTAAGCAAGGAGTATACAGTGGACCCCCGCATAGCGACTTTAATCCGTGCAAGAGGGCTCATTGTTATGTGAAATGATCGGTATGCGAATGAATTTTCCCCATAAGAAATAATGGAAATCAAATTAATCCGTGCAAGACACCCAAAAGTATGAAAAAAAAATTTTACCACATGAAATATACATTTTCCTACACACAAAGAGAAGGATACATGCACAATAGTAGAGTAGTACATGCACAATATATATTGTGCATGTACTACTCTACTAAATGAAGAATAAATGACACTTACCTTTATTGAAGATGCAGCAATGACTGATGAACACTGTGTCCTGGGAGTGCCTTTTCCTCCTGAGTACTGTAGGTCCTGTTTGGCATTTTCTTCCAGAACAGCCTTATCACACTGTGTATGTCACTACGATTCTTAAATCTCTCAAACCAACCTTTGCTGGCTTTAAATTCACCAATATGAGCACTAGTTTCCAGGCATTTTTCCCTGTTCACCTGGGTGTTAGTCGACTGGTGTGGGTTGCATCCTGGGAGACAAGATTAAGGACCCCAATGGAAATAAGTTAGACAGTCTTCGATGACACTGACTTTTTTGGGTTATCCTGGGTGGAAAATCCTCTGGGGTTAATTGTTTCTTGGTATTCTCAATAAGCCACACCAACAACGGTGCTACAGCAGCAGCAGCAGCTGACAGTGCTACAGCAGCAGCAGACGATGCTACAGCAGCAGCAGACGGTACTACAGCAGCAGCTGACGGTGGTACAGCAGCAGCAGATGATGCTACAGCAGCAGCAGACGGTACTACAGCAGCAGCTGATGGTGGTACAGCAGCAGCAGCAGCTGACAGTGCAGCAGCAGCAGCAGCAGCAGCTGACGGTGGTACAGCAGCAGCAGACGGTACTACAGCAGCAGCTGACAGTGCTACAGCAGCAGCAGACGATGCTACAGCAGCAGCAGACGGTACTACAGCAGCAGCTGACGGTGGTACAGCAGCAGCAGCAGCTGTACCACCAATAGCGATGGTTGATTGGGGTTTATTATACAACCTGGCCAGCTCGGAGACACGTACTCCACTTTCATACTTATCAATGATCTTTTTCTTCATCTCTATAGTAATTCTCACCCTTATTGCTGTAGGGTTGGCACTAGAAGCTTTCTTGGGGCCCATGGTCACTTATTTTGCAGATAAAATCACCAAAAACACTGTAATAATACGAAATGTTCCGATTGTATGCTTGGATGTTACTGCGGAGGCTGGCTGGTAAACAATGCCACCGGCGGCACATGTGAGGCTGGCTAAGGGCACACATTGGACGCGTCTCGGACGAAGAGTGGTGAGCAGGTTTTTGAGCGGTATGCGAGGCAAAATTTTTGCGATAAAAGCGAGCGGTATGCGGATTGAACGTTATGCGATGCGTACGGTATGCGGGGGTCCACTGTACAGTGGTACTCCGAGTTTTGTACAGCTCCCAACAATTATGTAAGTGTATTGTAAGTGTATTTTTGGGATCTGAAACAGACTAATCTAATTTACATTATTCCTTATGGGAAGAAATTCGTTTGGTAATGGCACTCGAACAACCTTCTGGAACAAATTATGGCTGAAACTCTAGGTACCACTGTACGTACTATAATGGTAGTGGGTTTGTGTCGGCCATCTTTGATATTGTTTTAATGTCCCCTTTGCACCATTTATAACATTTTTAATATACTTTTAAATGTTTATACAAAGTGTATTGTATATTGTAATAAACAGAATAGAGGAAATCAGCTCTAATATATATTATTTAGGTATACATACTGGTCAGAGAGCCTGTCGTAAGTCTGAAAGTAAACACTTCAAGGTCAACAATGTCATAAATTGAGTTTTAAAAAAATGTGAACTTCATTCGGACAAGTGCAAAAACACCATGAATTTAGAACATATTGAGGAGCTGGAGCTTGAAGAAAAGTTAAATGACCTTTTGTCGGTAAATGAGTACGTCCCTAAGTGAGGAGAAGCTGTACTGTATTTTCATGCAGTGTTGTGTGAGGCTGTGTCTGGGATATGTGCAGAGCACCGCCAATTCTGGCTTTGGCTTCCAGCAATTTTGCAACATGGCAAATTTTTATGTCTAACTCTTCAGTACAAATCTGAAGTGCTTTTATAATTTTTATTATGTATGATTTATGAGTGAAAGAGAAAGTATGTACTGTAATTTACCTGTCACACCACATATTTTGGCCAAACTAAAGCCAGAGTGAGCAGGGGAAATAGCACTCACTATTACTGCTTTGCTGATCCACCATCTCAGGCTATCACTGCTCTATTGATCCACCATCTCTCTGACTATTACTGCTCTGTTGATCCACTCTCTCTCTGACTATCATTGCTCTATTGATGATATATCAAGAGTCAGCAGGTAGCAGGATACCTGCCCATACACCTTCCATCATTTTATGTCTTCTCTAGCAACAAGGTTTTGGTAATCATGAGAATGTGAAAGACATGTTTGAGCAGTGACTAGGGCACAGCTTCACTCATTGTATAGTGCATCTCAAGTGCAACTTTTCAATTGAAATACTTGTTCACACTATCACTCACCATCATGTGGAATAATTGCAGATGTACAAGTAGTAGATGTAGCACTTTTAAAGCCATGAGAATGTGTACACTTGAATTTGTGTAATTGTAATAATATACGATAAACTTTTGTGAATTCTCGATAATGTGTTCCCCTCATTTCTTATTTGGCGTTAAGTTATTAATTTATGAATGCTTAATTTATGTAATTTTGGGAAATGTTTGTTAATGAGAAATGTGTAATGGATATACGAGTTTATTTCAGCACGATGCATTGTCTTTACGGAAATGTGTGACACTTGAGAGCATGTTGAAAGACCAGTCATGAGACTGGAGAGCATCACTTCTTGCCTTCCAAGCAGATGACCAATCATATCTATCATATCTACTGAGGATACAATCCAAATTTTGCTCATTATTATTATTATTATTATTATTATTATTATTATTATTTTTTTTTTTTTTTTTTTTTTTTTTTTTTTTTTTTTAGATTCACGACATGTATTTTAGAAGGTATTTTGCACACTATGCAGTTTTTGATGCATTGTTTCCAATTCCATTCACATTAAATTGCACTGTAGCATTGCTTTATAAGAGGATTTACTGTATACATATAAAGTGTGAATGTGTTGATCCCTACACTGGACTGTTGCTCAGCACAGGAGGAAGGTTCCAGTGTTGGGATCAAAATAGTCACAAACTACCATTTCTTGTCTATTTACAAAATGTGGGATTTGCGAGCGATTTAGAAGTGTGACATCTTTACATTTTTATCTGTTAATTACTCGAGCTTTTTGACTGCATGATTAAAGCAAGATGAAGCCACAAGAGGTGCTACAAAAATAAACAGCAAGCACTATAATGAAGTCTCTGAATTTCGTT